TGATACAAGTTGTTACAGCTTATCGCTTTCAATCACCAATATAATTTTATAATTTAATACAATATTACCACGTACAATCATAGATAATTAAGACTATTAACATACATTGTAGTTCACAGCTACTAATTTATTAACTTCATCTGATTGTTGTCAATATTATTAGAATTAGAATATCAATTCAATATTTGTAACCATTTAGTAATTATTTGTGATATAAAATTAAGAACATTTTTATTAAATTATTACTGCCTAATAAAATATAATTTTATAATTTGTTTAAAAACTGTTTTGAACGCAATTAAAAATTAAAAATTGAGCATGATAGATGTGAATCATTGAACATTTTTCTTTACTTTAAATGCAAATTAGTTCGGGTGTGGCTACACGCGTTATCACGCCTTGCGAGCTTCGCTACGCCGACATACGGGCTCATCCGCCGTAGTGCCGCATTAGAAGTTTTACACTTTGATATTAAAAAGTATTTCAGGGATAAAGGCAAACTCAGGGTCATGCCTCCCTTAAACACCCTCCCCCTTAATTCGGGCTTGTGTTTAGTAACTAGCGTGACCAACCAAAACAAATAGGTACTCAAAAGAATTAATAACGTAAYTGCATTGGTGCAAATATGGGAGCTTTAGGAGGCTAAGCCCCTCAAGCATTTCCTAAATGTTGTATTAAGCTTATTTAACATTATTAAAGTTGGGTTTTAGCCCCCCACCCCAAATCCCMAACACCATTTGCACCTATGCACAACTRAAAATCTGAGTCTGCCGAACGACGAATGTAAATTGAGAATACACTCGAGTACCATCCAATCCCAACTCTCGTTAATACGTAAGAGCTGTCGGATCAATACTTAATGGCAAAAAATCCGGTCGCGCACGCGCGCCAACGTGAAGATACTGGACATTTGCACGCTGCCACCGCCGATCGAACGAGGACAAGTAAAGTTGGCAAGACACAATAATAACTTTTTTCCAGATCCCCAGGATTCGATATTGACGTACGACTGGGCGGGACGCCGTAGTGCGACGTTGTCGCATTGTCCGGCACCACCATCTGATAAATTTGTTGCAAGCTATGCAAGCACACACGGTGTGACAAAAACGTCAATGTCAGCGCTAGCTCGCTGCATACAGTTTATTTGATCACGAGAAGGGTGGCTCACGCATGCGCACCTACCTACTTCCTCCTCCAACCCGAACTCGATTCGATTACTCTTCCACCACACGGCAGACAGATAACCCTTCACCGGTGGGCCTGTTGCTGCGTTACACTGAGCCCCAGGCACCTAGAGATCCGCGCTTTGTAGRACACTGGGACCGTTCGGCGTTCAGATTCTCAATAGCTGCACGACTGCGCGCACGCATCACGGTGACGGACATAACCATCGACGAGACATCTTGAACAACCGCCACTGTCGTTGCATCTCATCGTATCGCATACACTTCAGGTAAAATGATGAAGATATTATTTTTAAGAGGACGTCGCAACCCCATGTGTTGTCTCCTTCTTACACACGTATGTCATACCAAATTTTCGTTCACTGATTCAATAGGATGCTGTCAGTATTGATATTAGAGTGAACTGACCTATTGTAAAACTTTTAGGAAATGAACATTATCTGTGGTATCTATACTCGGCGCGGAATAAGATCATGGCCAGTCGCGCATTCAAAACAACTTCCTCCACCGCACCGACCACCATAGTGGCAGTTACCGGCTTTGTATATGGAACCAATGAGAAATCGGCTGCGCGTAACTTCCGCCACCATGATCTTATTCCGCGCCGAGTATAGATCGGTTTTTTACGATATTTTTATTTTTAAGTGAGTTAAGTGAGTTATGAGTATATAAAATATTATAATGCTCATAACTCACTTAAAAATTAAAATCGTAAAAACAGATCGAGAGAACACAGATAATGTTCTTATCTAAAAGTTATACAATAGGTAAATTCAGTCTCATATCAATACTGACRGCAAGTTATTGAAACTAGYGAACGGAAAATTGGTATGTCGGCTATGTCGTACGTGTGTAAGACGGAAACAACACATACGGGTGTYGTTATGACAAAATAAATTTAGTTTGTCATAGGTGCTATGTCTTCTTAATAATAATGATTGTTCTCCGCCGCCAGGTTAACGCTCCGAATGAATATGAAACCTCGCAAGACTGTCATACGCATTATGCACGCTCACTTGTTGATTGGTGATGAGTGGGTCCTTGAATTTTTAATATTTACCTTTCACGTACGACGTGCCATTTTATGACTCCTTTCCGTAGAGCGTTTGATTTTTGAAATTCTGTACCGGGAGTTTGGTAGCTGTAAGCTGTATTATATTATGTGTCTACGAGTTCGTTATTTGACGGCAAATCCAAACACTTGTAAACATGCATTGATCATTTATTGCGCCTTTAAAATTATGCCCTCCTTTTGTTTTTTACTTGATTTTGTTTCTTTATTTGACTTCTCATACAACTAATTATTCATTAGATTTCATAACGCGTCATATAGTAGGCACCTACTTAAAAATTATGTTATGTATTATTGATTTATTCTCATAAAATAATATAATATAATATAATATAATATAATATAATTATTCTCAATAAAAGGCACCAAACCTATCAACTATTATTATTTTGGTTATGCTACTAGAAAAAAAATTGTGATATGATAGTATGATAGTTTTGCTATTCATTTTAACTACTTGTGTACAACTTGTCACTTTCTTTGTATACAACTTGGTAAAACTTATTTACCATTAATAAAAAAGAAGGGTAGGGTAGTATTTTGTTTGGTACGAAGGTTACTCAATTAAATATTAGATGTTTGTATTAAAATGTTTTTGATTTCAATGCTCAACTAGAATATTATCAATTTTGGTTGGTTGAAATTCTAATAAATAATAATGTTTATCATAAAAAAGATAAWTTTAATTCAAAATATTTTTTTCCAAAACTAACTGATTATAGATAAATACCTATATTAAAATGATAAAGCTAAATTTTTGAAAGTTATATTTAATGAGATAGGCCTCTTGATAAATAATTCCTTAAATTAATAATAATAATATTTATTGATACCAAATTATAAATTAAATTTACAAACGTGTTATAAACCATATATTAATTACCTATCTTTGGTTTTCTTTTCAAAAGCTAAGCTTGTGCAGAAAAGAGAGAGTATGTGACACACAGTCGTAAATAATTAGAAAATGTAAAATATAACTAAGGGGAAAATTAATAAGAACAATATAAATAAAAATAATAAAATTACTTATAGTATTAAACATATTATAAATACAAGCACTGAAGCACAGATTTTGTTGACCCATACGGTGCTTTAGCCATTATAGTTATTGAAATAGAACTAGAATATAATATAGTAGCGTTTTATTTTTTATAATAATAATGATAATATGGAAAGTTATAAAAGAAGAATGATTGGGTTGTATCATTTCATTTATTGTACATTTTAATAAATAAGCAACTATTTAAAACTTGTTTTTAAATGTTTCTATTTAATAGTTACTATATATTTTATTGAATAATCGCTTAGTTATAAATAATACATTTTTTATTTTCAATTTATTTAGTAATATGATAAGTACCAACCAGGCCCTATTTTTTTTGTAAAATTTCGGACTGCACGCTTAATTTTAGTGCTTTAAACAAAAATGTTATGCACTTCTATCTTAGAAAAAGCAATTTATTACATATATAATACATATACAATGCAAATAAAACAACAAAATTCAGGAAATACTCATATTTTCTAATAGCTAGCATATTATGTAATATTTGTTTTGTAGACTGTAGTACACACACAATCAAATCGTAGTGCCCACTTGTACAATAATTGTAGTGCATATTGTGTGTCGCAGTGCACATAAAAATAGGACCTGGTACCCACTCATTTATTTCTAAAACAAAAAAAACTATTTTTAAATAGTAAAACACAATATTTATTAAATTATATTAATATTTTTGAAAAGCATCACACTAATTAACTTGGATTGGATTTAAAGTAGCTATACCAATATCAAGCTAATTAATACAATGGAAAATAATAATTAAGCAATCTATTTAATTTAAATTTGAAATTAAATACTTAAATATTATTACAGCAAGCTGACTTCAGTTTTTTTGATTAAACACATATCAAATGGTCAGTTTTTAATTGTGTTTATTGAAACAACAAGATAATACAAATGGTTAGATCAAAGAAAAAATCATCGTCTAATAAATCATTAAAGAACATGCATCCATCGCAGTTCAATAATCCCAGAAAAAATGTTAATAATTTTGGTGGATGTATAGCAGACATGAACATGCAAAACCATAATATGATGACAAATGATATGACACAAAATACAGCAAATGTGAATAAACAAGACCATAATACTATACCAAATTTTGTAACACAGAGTAAAGTGAATTTGAATAACCAAAATCTTCACATGATGCTAAATTCTGTTTCACAGAATACARGAGACGCGAATAAACAAGACCATAATATGATTCCAAATATTATAGCACAGAGTTTAGCAAATTTGAATAGACAAAACCTTAGTATAATGCTAAATGCTAAGACACAGAATACATCTAACATGAATAAACAAGACCATAACATAACATCAAATCCTGTAACACTGAGTTTAGCAAATTTGAATGGGCAAAGCCATAATATGTTACCAAATGTTGTAACACAATTGCCACAATGGTTTGTTGAAAAAGTTAACTGATTGGTAGTAAAATTAATGTTTTGTATTTTATAGGCATTCTCAAATAACAATGAGCGACATATTGAATAACTATGTTGATGGTCCAAATTCAGGTAACAGTTTGTTCACTTCTGGCCGTGATTTGTCTGTACAATCCAATTTTCAACCGATATTCGACTGCAATCAAATAAATAACAATAATGGTATACATCCTCTTATGGATCAATCTAACTTGTCTCTCATCAATGGAAATGATTTATCTGACAATGGACCAAAATATAGTGTTGCTAGCCACACTGTGCCCGTAGGGAGACCTTATGGTAAACATTCACTGTTCAAAAAATATGATCATTACTTTAGTTGTGAGTTATTCATTTTATTTTTTTTTTTATTTTTTTATTTTTTTTTTTTTACTTATTTATTTGTTTATTTTTTGTTTATTATTTATTATAATTTAATGTATTGTTTGTTATTTAGTRTCATTATTTATGGTTTGGTTTAATATTATTTAAATTATTTTTATAATAGTCAAAGTGATGAAAACTTCAAATTCAGAGACAAGTGAATTCAAAATGAGGAATAAAGATTTTCCAGCATTACCTGGTACTCAAATGCAAATGCATGATGTTGCTAAAACTCCATCTACTATGATAGATTCAAACCAACAGTGGAGTAATACAAAAAATGGATCTAAATTGTTAAATAAGTTTAACATGAATCGATTAATAAATCATAATTCAAATGAAAGCCATTTAGATACAGATTTTCATTTGAACGGTAATGCGGTACCAAAACCTGGTGTTCAAACGTCACTTGATGATGGTCTCTTAAATAAAAATTGTATTTTTATTTTTATTAATTCATTGTTATTTAGGTAAAGTTACTAACATACCTGGTAGTATGCTACGTGATCAATTTGGAATTATTGGTCAACTGGTTACGATGAGAACTGCTGAACATAATCCTAAATTGGTAACATTAACTTTTGGACAAGATTTGACAAGCCTTGGTATGAACTTAAATTCCCCTGAAAACATTTACCCAACATTCGCAGGTCCATTTGAAAATACTCCGCTAGAACCGCATAACATTGAATATGATGTACCATCTGAATATAAGATTCATCACAAAATCAAGTAAGAAAATGAATTGTTAAAGTGTTTTTCATACAATTAATTATTTATATATATTTTAGAAATAAGTTAGCTCCAATCAAGTTGTCCGAATATAAGGATGATTTATTGTTTTATCTTTTTTTTACTCATATTGGTGATAGAATACAGATGGCTGTTGCTAGTGAATTGTAAGAAATTGTATATTATTTTTTTTTATGTTATATATCTTACTTAATTTTGATTTGTTGCTTAAGGCATACACGAGGTTGGCGTTACCATACAGGACAACGAATATGGATCACTCCTGTGTCTGGATTAAGTAGTTCAAAAATAGATGGTAAATTTCAACGTGGCACATTTTATGTATTTGATAAGCTGTTGTGGCGCAAAGTACCAAAAGAACTAATGCTTGACCACACTATGTTGGATGGATGTGTTTCAAATGGTTCTTTCATACCCCCTAATACATCAACAAGATAAATTTAGTTGTACTCAATTAACATATTCAATACTTAAAAAGTCAATTAAAAATTTCTTCTTCTATGACTTTGCACAAAATCTATCCAAAATGTTAACATTTTTGTTTATTTTATCATTTTTATAAAAAAAATCCATGTAATTTCTACAATAGATTTTATGTAAGTTTTATGTCAAATACCCAGATTAATAATAACTGACATTCCATAATTATTCAATTTTTGTCATAACAACACTATTTTAATTTAATTTTTTGAAAAATAATTGTTTTATTATAATATGATTTCCATACATTTTTCTGGTGTATTTTGATTTTGTGATTGTTCGACACATAAAAAGTCGAAAGGGAAATCTAATATTTTTCATATATATAGTGTGTGATATATTTAAAATGTTGGCGCTATGCACAATTAACCCATTAATAACTGTCAATGTATTTTGAACCTAACCAAGTGTTCAGCACATAAAATATTCATGTTAAGAGGACGTTACACCCGCATTTGTTGTCTCCGTCTTGCAAGTGCGTAACATTGCAAAAACTGTTTCGCACGGGAAAGAACCGAGAAAGATACCTACAGTTATAACTAAGAAACAAAATTTTCACCACATAAAAAGGAGAATATTTTGTCTGTGCAATATCGTTTTTATTTTTTCGATATCACTTATACAAAAAAAATTCTTATTGTTTTATAATATATTAATTTTTTGTTTTTTAAGCATGACTAACTTTTTTCGTAGTTCTKATATCGAAAAAATAAAAACGATATTGCACGGACAAAATTCTCCTTTTTATGTGGTGAATATTTTGTTTCTTAGTTATAATTGCAGCTTTCTCGGTTCTTTCCCGCGCGAAACAGTTTTTGCAGTGTTACGTACTTGTAAGACGGTGACAACACATGTGGGTGAGACGTCCTCTTAAGTTAAAGGAGCGAATGAKCGATGATAAAAATACATTGTATTCCAATGTATTTTTATATCACAGTTTTGTTCTTATCACAGGTAGCAAAAATTCTACAGAGTTTCTGCGATAGATGCTGGTTGCTGGGAATGGAAATGGAAGATCTTAGTTAAATCACAGATAAATAAATAAAAATATAGTTCGTAGCTCGATCAAGTGTAAGAGGAGGGTAATGATAAACCACTAATAGTGAATAATAACTGTTAAAAGTGTGATAGAACAAACATGACGAAAATCTTTTCAAGGTATTAACATAGATTACACATACATCTAAAATCTATACGATTGAAACAAAAACCTTCAAAGGTTGATTACAGTAATTTAACTATAACGTCGTTTTYGTAACACAGTGAATCATTTATTAGTGATCACCGTGGTTAAATCATTATGTATTATAGAGAGTCAGTTCCTTCTAAAATACTTCTATATAAARAGTTGTTTTTATTTTACAGTACAATATTATTAATTTTATGAAAACATGCTTTCAGTCTAAAATTGATAATTCATTATAAAAATATAATTTTAACTTTCAACATTTAAAAATGTAAAGAATTAATAATAAAGATGATTATGCATACTATGATATAAAGTATGTATTTATATATATTATATTATATCCTATACTATAGGAAGCTAATATAGTGTGAAAATACTAAAGATTATATATTACTACAATATATATAAAAACTGATTTTGAGTTCAAATTTTAGAAAATTCACTAAAATAACAAAAATTTGCAAATTATTTTGCTTGAAGTATGTACCCTATAAAATAGAAACTATTTGAGGTTGAAACTTCAATTTACAGATTAAACTGCCTCTTTATATTACTGTATAAAAATGGCTATAGCTGCTAGAGATAACTTCACATTGCTCTGATAATGTGAAACATGATTTATAGAAGAATAAAGGTTTTAGATTCTGAACGAAGTGATGAATGTATTGATTTTACAATGATGTGTGTTTTTTTTTTGTGTGTCTGTGACTCTGTGTAGAGCATAACTAGTCGAAATAATGCTTCGATTTCAAACTTTTGGGGTGGTTTCCGATGTAAAATTGAAGATACTTGGTGCATTATAAAGGTCAAAAGTAAAGATTTTCCAACAGTTTCAAAAAAATCGAGAAAAACAAA